CTGAAAATTGGTACGAAAGTTAATAAAGGTCAAAATTAAAGATTTTTTTATTTTTTTATTTTTGTTAAGTTACCCGGTAAGTTTTATCACAATAATAGTTAAAACAAAAGTATTAGATTAGGATTATTGATTCTTAAAAAAAAGTATAAAAGCAATTTTGTGGATAATTTCATTTATCTGCAAAATTGCTTTTATACTAATTTGAAATAATCAATATTCCTGAGATAATATGATTCTAAAAATTGAAAAAGCCTTTTTTTTCATAGTATGGATATTATATATTAGTAAATTATATCTTCTTTGCTTTCTTTTTCATTTTAAAACTGGATATGTGAAAAAGATACATCAGCTGTCTCATCATTAATATCATCAAAATTATAATTTTTTCAAGATGATTCAAGATCAAAGCAAGACTGGCCTTGAAAATTAGTACATACTACCTGTATGTACTACAAACAAAATAAACTAACTTTTCTACAGCTACATTTGCCCTTAAACCCTTTTTGCAATGGAAAAAAATGGTGTTGAGAAGTCTTTCAGGAGCTGGTGATAATAAAGTTTTTTGGCTCCAATTTACTATTGACTAGTTTCCCCCACCCCAGTCTGCTGGGTCCAGATGATTGCCTAGCCATACTTAAACTTGAAAATATATAGTGTACACCTCTGTATATATATATATATATATATATATATATATATATATATATATATTATATATATATATATATATATATATATATATATATATATATATATAAATTAGTTGTATACCTTTATCATCTTCATCTTTTTGCACATTGAAATCTATAACATTTTCCTCTGCTAATGGATTCTAAATAATAATGCAAAAACCAATATAAAATGTAAAAAAAATAGTATGAATAGTGTAATCTGCTCAAAGATGAGGCCATCTTTTTATAGATTATAAACCATCCCACTAAATTTGTATATCTATATATTTTATTAATGATAAGACAGAACGGACACTTAAAATTACAGGGTACTATCCTGTTACTTTCTTTACCCACTTTGACCACTGTGGTCATATATATATATATATATATATATATATATATATATATATATATATATATATATATATATATATATATATAATATATATATATATATATATATATATAGGATGCATGTCAATGATATTGTTTATTATAATGTTGTTATTGCTTCTAAAAAAATACCACATGTTCAACTATATTTGAGCTTATAGGAACGTTATCTTCAATATCAGGGTAGTTATACTGAGTAAAATCCATGTTTAAAAATGTAAACCGGTAGTAATGTAGTTAGTTGATTGAAATAGCAGATCTTTTTTCAAACTAAAAAACAAATTAAAATAATTATTAAAATTCAACCAATTCAATAGCTGGCTTACTTTTAGGTTTTTAAATGTTATATTATTGTTATGTTTTTAATTAGTAATAGAATATTATAATATTGATTTGTTTTCACTATAATATTGATTTGTTTTATTTTTTATTGGTAACATGCCTATTATTATCTTTTTCACCTTAGGCTTTATATAAAGCCTCAGGAAAATAAAATATTTATGTAACAAGCACCTATAAATAAATGTTAACTGTATATAGGTGTTTATTGTATAAACATTTATCTAGGATTAAAATCTAATTTGGGGTTACCGCATTATAATGTGGTTACTTTTGTGTAAATTAGACTGAAAGCTTAGATAAGTGAATTTAATATACATTGATGATTGGTGATAATTTGATGAAATCAATAAATTCAAATCAATTCCAAAGATGAAATCAATGAAGTCATTGATTCAATCAAAATAAAAAACAAATCATTAAAAAGTCAATAACTTATACTCTTATAAGTATAGAATATAATATTTATAAAATATAAATACAAAAGATAGAATATATTATATAATAAACAACAGTTTGTAAAGATGACGAAGAAATAATATAGCGGGTAACAATATATATTATATAATATATATATATATATATATATATATATATATATATATATATATATATATATATATATATATATATATCAGATAATATCGCTTTTATACAACTGGTCTCGTATTTAATACGTCCAGATAATTCTAGGAATATACGCAAAAAAAAACATACGTCATTACATTACCATAAACGGAGTGAGCAGGTCTCGGTACATGAACTGTATGTAAATAATAAGTAAATTTAGTTCAAGTTAATAATTCAATATTTACAGTTGCAATATAATAAAGAAATACTGAACTTTTTATTTAATTATGTATTTTTTTACCTACATTTGTTATAAAAAACTTTAGAACCCCCGTCATTAAAATAATTTGTTTTAGACGTGATTATTCAAACTAATTTTTTTCGTTTGACTTACCGAACTTCATGCAAAGCAAATTGAAACGAAATATCGTCTAACCAAATAAAAAAGCTGTTACTAATTTTATACGGGTAATTAATGTAAAAAAATTTTTGAGCTAATAAATATTCATAATTTATAAACATTAAATATATGGCGCAATAACAATTTATAGCAACGAACCAGCATAAAATATTTAAGGTTTTTAATATCTTTTTAAATATTAATAGTAGGAAAAAAAAACTAAACAAATAATCAAAAAAACTTCGACTAAAAATAAATAAAAATATTTCCAGAGTTTCTTCTGTTAAAAGTCTACCGTGACGTCAACTACTAAAACTTTTATGAATTAAACGCGCTTCAAAGGAATTGCTAAAGTCTGTAGATTGCGACGCATAATTTGAAGACTCCGAGTAGTTAAAAAAAAATGGAGAAGACGAGCTTCGGCAAAAACAACAACATTTGTTTTTCACGGTATGCATTCATTATTTATTTTTAATCAAAAAAATTTGGTTCAAACCTTTTTTTTTAACATTATCTTTAATATGAACACAACATGTGTTGGGAGTTTGGGATCCCTTTAAGTATCGGAAATTTGAGGCGAAATGGCACAGAAAATGATAGTATTATTAACATTTGAATAACTTTTGAACCGATAATATATTTGACTTGAAACTTTCCATAGTGATCAATCAACTATGAGGAAGTAAAAATCCAAAAAAATTTTTTTTTAATCTGTCAGGATTGACCAGAATCATCAATTTTACAGACCAAGGATTTTTACTAATTTATATATTTTTGCGGTCAAACTGACTTTTAAATAACTTTTAAATCGTTATTACTTTTGACTTAGAATTTTTCATAGTGATAAAAGAACCTTAAGAAAATAAAAAACCAAAATTTTACTTTAAAAAATATGTCGATATTGTCCAGAATCATCTATTTTACAGCCTGAAGGGTTTTATAATATTTTCTTATTTTTGAGAATAAAAATTTGGGTCATATTATAATTATACCATGCAAATATGCATAAAGGAATCATGGAATCCAAAAAATACATAATCTAAAAACTATTGCATAATTTACAGACTGCTCGGTGAATAATCACATAAATTACTGTTCGGTCAGTAAATTGCTGAAAATGGGCTGTTCAAACAATTTAATCATATCAACTTTAAATAGTTTGTATTTTTTTTTTTTTAATTTTTGATATTTTTGCACCATTATTACATTTGACTTGAATTTTTAAATAGTGATCCAGTTTTTATTAAATCTGTCGGGATTATCCAGAATTATTTATTTTACAGACTGAAAGGTTTCTACATATTTAACTGTGTTATTAAGAAAAAAAATTAGTGTTGCACTATGCAAATATGCATAAAGGAATCATGGAATCCTAAAAATACATCACTTGAAAACTATTGCTTAATTTACAGACCTGTCAGTAAAATTATTGCATAAATTACAGACCGGTCAGTAAATTACAGAAAAATAGATGTACACGCCAATTAAGGATATTGACCTTAAATATGTGTGATATTTTTAAACCGTTATTACATTTGACTTGAAATTTTAAATAGTAATCCAGTTTTTAATAAATCTATTGAGATCACACAGAATCATTTATTTTACAGACTGAAGTGTTTTTACTTATTTAATTGTGTAATGGACAACAAAAATTAAGGTTACAATATACAAATATGCATAAAAGAATCATGGAATCTGTAAAATACATCAATTTGAAGTTATTGCATAATTTACAGACCGATCAGTAAATTATTACAAAAGGGTTGCACCAACCTATTGGACAAATCAATATTGCACAAACCTATTTGACTTTAAATATATTTGATAATTTCCAACTGTCATTACATTTGGCTTGAAATTTTTGATAGGGATACAAAACTATAATAAAATTAAAAACCATAATATTTTTGACAAAATTAAATGCTATAATATAATCTGTCAAAATTATCCAAAAATTGTTCATTTTACAGACTGAAGTGTTTTTACTTATTTACCTAGTTTTTTAGGAAAAATTTGGGTTATATTATAAAAACTCCATGCAAAGATGCATAAAGGATCGTGGAATCCAATTAATTCATCCGTTTAAAACTATTGCTTAATTTACAAACCGATTAGTAAATTAGTATGGGCATTGAAATATATTTAAATCATTAAGAATTACCTATTTAACAGACAGGAGATTCTTTAATAAAGTTAAAATTTAAATTGAAATGAAAATAACTTACAGCAATAGAACTTCCTAAATTTTTGAGTACTTACAACAGGTGTAAAATAGCAGGTGTAAAAGCAGAAACTCAACCTAAAATTGTAATAAAATTATTATTAAAACACACAGGTTAATTGGTTAAAATAAAAAATAATTATAAATTAAAAATTAAAACTAAATAAATATAGAATAAGAAACTTACTCTTTGAGATTGTTTATGTGAACTGTTGACAACAACTTGGCTTACCTTCTCATTCTCTTCTCATTCTCAAAAACACAGAACCTGTGGCACTAAACGCTGCAAATTCATGCTAGTGTCAATAGTTAACTAACAAGGTGAACTTCTATCCTTAGCCTTTTACCATTTCTAACCAACATTAATGATCATCCTGAAAAACTCAAAGTTGGCTCTATTTGTTGATGATATAAGAAACATTTGGATTTCAATTATCTGTTTTTGGACCTGTTAACTGTTGTTACAGAAAGGTTTGAAATTAACATTAGATAGAGGCGGTGATGCACATTCTAATGCTCTGGATGATATAGTGTATCTGGCGAAGTTTTAAAAAAGTATTTACAATCTTGTTAATACTCCTATATTCATGAATGGCAACATTGTTACTGTGTCTTCTACTTTAAATCGTCTCTAACTATCTTTTTGTACTGACCTCTTAGGGAAACCTTATATACAAATCATTGCTAAGTAAGTATTTGTATACAATAATATAGTATTTTATTGTTCCTAAGTGCTCCAAAAATTCTTATTTGTATAGTTTTTTTTCCTCAAACATCAGTTTTTTGTGATACTCTCCAATCATCTTGTTTTCCTGATTCATATAATTTGCAATCTTTTATGTCATCTGTTAATCGTTATCTTGCTTTATAATCTTCATCTTGGGTTTTCCAGTAACTTCCTAAAAATATTTTTTTAGGAAGTTACTGGAATGTTATTTTACTTCATATTGGGTCTTCCAGTAACTCTAAAAATGGCTGCTTCAAGCCTTGTTGAAAATACAGATACTTAAAATAAAAAATAATCTCGCTTGATTCAACAAAGTTGATGATTTGCTATCTTCTGTTAATTGTTCTATCCTTAATTCTATCCAAACATCTTCTGAAACAAATTCTAGTGAATTTGTTCCAGAAGATATTTTTGTCTATCTGTAATTTATTTAGGTTATTAGAAAATTCATGTTTACAGAGTTGTTATTAATCATAATGGAGTTGTTAAACCAAGGAAATTGTGGAGGTTTATTTATCATATATACTATATATATTATATAATTATATTGGAGGGAGTAAGTTTAAAAGCATTTTTAAATTTTTAAAAAGAAATAAAAATACTTTTGAATATATATCTGTTTTCTTTGAGGTAGAATTAAAGTTTCAGTCTTTTAAAATTTAAATTTAAAGTTTCAAGTTTTCAAAATCGTAATCTTTTCAAAATGTCTAAGTAGACATTGAGTGTTTATAAAATCTTTTTAAAATTTTATAGGTAATTAGTTTATAAGTATATAGGTAATTAGTTTATAAGTATATAGTTTTAAGTTATAAGTATATAAGTATATAAGTTATAAGTATATAGTAATTAGTTTATAAGTATATAGGTAATTAGTTTATAAGTATATAGTTTATAAGTATATAGGTAATTAGTTTTAAAATTTTATAGGTAATTAGTAGTATTGTAATCTTTTTTAAATTGTACTTTTAAATTTAAAGCTTTGTGTTATACATGTTAATATTGAAAATATAGAATACTATAATTCTTAGATGGTGTCTACCATTAAAAGATATTTATGGGTAGTTTCATGCTTTCAAATGCTTTTAATAATTGGGATAAAAGCCATGATAACATTTTGTTATAAATAAAATTTATCTATAGTATTGTTAATACTTTGGCTCTTTGAAAAAAAATATGTTTTTTTTCATTTCAAAAAGTTTAATAAATTGCCTTACATGATTGAATTTTGGTTTAGGATATAACTGTGTTATTATATGTTTGTTTTTCTATTTATATCTAATTTATAAAGATTTAATTTATAGTTAAGACAAATATAACTTATTTAATTTAAAATTAAGATATAAAATAAAATATCTAATTTATAAAGATTTAGATCATTAGAAAATTTATATTTACGGAGTTGTTATTAATCATAATCAAGTTGTTGAACCAAAAAAATTGTAGAGGTTTATTTATTAAATATACTATATATATTATATAAAAAATTTT